CATTGTCTCTTGTTCATATGGTACCTCTTGAAATGGTTGAACATTAACCATTTCCTTTTGGTACAATGACTCTGTGTATTCCCTCCATCTTTTCTTGATGCATTCTGCATCATTCAGTAATTTGCCCAGAGAATCTTTCAATATTGAAAGTCGAGGCTTGAATTTTTTCTTCAGTTCCCCCAGCTTGAGAAAAGCTGACCGTGTTCTTCCCTTTTGGTTTTCTAATTCCAAATCTTTACATATTTTATTATAGTATTTGGTTTTATCTTCTTGAGCTGTTCTTTGAAATTTTCTGTTCAGCTTTTGGACCTCTTCAATTCTTCCATTTGCTTTAGCTTCTCTACACTGGAGAGCGAATTTCAGAGTCTCCTCTGACATCCATTTTGACCTTTTCCTTCTTTCTTGTCTTCTTAATGACTTTTTTTGCTCTCTTCACATATGATGTTCTTGATGTCATCCCACAACTCTTCTGGTCTTCGGTCTTTAGTGTTTAATGTTTCAAATCTGTTCTTCAGATGATCTCTAAATTCAGGTGGGATAAATTCAAGGTCATATTTTGTCTGTAGTGGACTTGTTTTCATTTTCTTCAGCTTCAGTCCCAAAATATAGTTCACCACAAAGGATGTTCTACCTGTAAAAAATGTGCAAAATGACATATTAAGCAAAATTAAGCTAGTGAAATATTTCTCAAGGTTTTAATTACTCTAATATGTTATGACACCAGGGGGCAGGGGAACAGAGACTATTTCCCAAATGTCTTTTGCTGGAAACCCATTTCTCCACAGAGGACCCATGGCAAACTTGTGAGCCAAATGTTCCTTAGAACATATTTGAGAAAGACTAAACCACAGCTCCTAAGGACTCCTTGAGGCTGGTGATTGATAGAGATAAGGAATAGTGGTTCCAAGAAATTATAGGATGCTGTTGGTCTTCCCTCCCTTGGCTATTCCATGATTGAATCTGAACCAAGTACTGGCAGTGAAACCAAGATTCTAAATGCCCTCATCCTCCTTGCCAACCCAATGCCCTGCAAAATTTACTTCAGACCACTTGATCACTAGGTCCCAGCCAAAATCAGATGCAACAGTAATGGTGTTGTGAAAAGTTTAGCAACCCCAAGCCAAATACCACCAACTGAAAGAGCTGTAGGTCACAGTCATGCAGTAGGGTCATTCTGGTGAGCACTGTCCCTTGCTTCTTAGGTCCATGTAAGGCAACAAGAAGGTAATGCTAATCTGGGCAAACTGAAGAAATAAGACTACTGCATCAGAGTTCAGCAATTCATGATATAGTGTGCATATGCATATCCAATACATACATATCCAAGGCATACATAGCCAATACAAACCAGTGTCTAAATAAATAACACTCTCTCAGATTAGGAACCATGCTTTGGTTATCTTTGAGCCCTTCTCTAACAGTGCCATGAAATCATTATTCATTTAGCATGCCAACAAAAATGTTGGTTGGGGTAAATATGCACAAACTGAAATCTTTTTTAAAATATTA